AGAATCAGAGACAACAGCTGTCCAACCGGATTCTTGAACGGGTGTTCTATTGAATACGGTCATATTTTAAAAACCTGCTTCAAGTGACAATGAACAAGGGCCAGGTAAGCAGTTAATCCAAGGAGTAACTATCAATCAATCATCTTTATTTCAAAAGCACTTTACATATAATCATTTACAGAATGACAGTAGTGCTGTTCACCACTAAAATCACTATAAAACCATTATAAACCATTAAAACTAACTACAAGAACTATAAGAAATAAGATTTAAAGTAAGAAACTATCAGAAGTCTCGTTCCTCTGTAAGACAGTGATTCCATGACTCCATATTTCCAAGTCAAGTGCCTTTTGACATATTTAATAAAAAATGCAGGTTGCTATGACAACAAAACACGTAAGAGGGTTGAGTAAATACTAACACGGAAGAAATACCTGCAGCAGAGGGAAGAAAATGAAAAAGTGCATCTACTTTCAGAAAAACACCTCTTTACAGATCCTTTTATTCAAACGCTTAAAGATGAAACTAAGAAAAGAAGAAGGGTTTAGAGATCCTTTTAAAATATTTAAATCTGTTCTGGTGGACAGTCCTGACCGTGACATTTATATAATTATCAGCCTTGCTGTCTTTTGACATAACAGGCTTCAGTGAACAGTAACAGCAGCAAACATAATCTGAGATGCACTTTTTGTTTCCACCAGGGCGAAGAAGCGTGAAACATTCAAAATGGGGGTGAGTTAAGGAAAATGAGTCAAGGCTGTTGGTGTGAGGGAAAGGTTTCTACAAAATTCATTTTACATTTTTAAGTGTGGCAGAAACCTTCTCAGTAGGTTGGGAATCATATGATATTTGCATTCATGTTTTTATCTCAGTTCAGGTCAGGAATAGGATAGACCCATCTTATTTTTGTACACAGGGTCAAGGGTTGTATCCTTTCCAACACAGTCTGGGAGGAGGTCCAACTGGAATGAGGAAACCAGCTAAACTGCAGCTTCATTATGGACTGAAGGCAGGCATTATGGCACAGAAGCAGCTGAAAACCAAGACTGATGGGCAGAAGTCATTCGGAGTCGAGACGAAAACATCTGCCTGTTAGTTTAGAGGACAACGACCAGCCTCAGAAACAGGAATGACATATGGGCTTTAAGCGTTTGTTGGGGCTTGATCTTGTCGTTTTTAAATCAATTCAAATCTTACACTTTCTCAATCTTGGGGTTTTTACAAAATGTGGCCCTCACATAGCCTAGTGAACTAGACCAAAATCTTGCTTTGCAAAGTTTGGTCTAGGAACGCTCCACTGGAACCTCCGCAGCCCCTGCGCACCCTCCCATGCCAGGCTGCAATTACTCGCAATGCTGTACATCGCTTGTGACTTTCGTTTCTTCATCCTGCCCCATGCTCCCTTAATGGTGACAAAAAAAGGGAACGAATATGAACTCAACTGAAAACTAAACAAAAAATTTGCTGTGTGCTTGGGTTGAATAAATATTTAAACTCTAATATGCAATAAAGTTCCTAAAGGTCTCACTATTTTTTCAATAAAGTTGGTGTGGTCTCCAGAACGAATGAATGTCTAGCGAGTCATTTTGTTGGAAAAAGGCTTTGGTGCTCCTGTTTTACGACGTTAAAGATTATCGGAGGAGCGGCTGGAAGAGAATGTAACAGGATTTTGAGTCCTAATCATTAATATTCATGAAATGCAAATGTATCAACTCTGATTGGCCAGCAACATGACTCCTCGCTGCCTCCATTCGCTCTTCTTTCTTGGGAATAAAAGTACAACATTGATGTTTTATCACCACTAATAACACAAGCCTGAACATGTTCCCATGCTGTTGAGTTGCTAATGGTTAGCTTCTACTAGCTAAGGGCGAGGCCTTGAATACTAGTTTTCCCTGTGATGTTGTGATGTAGAAAAGACTGGCTTTTTCTGACTCTCTGGTTTTCCAGTCCATATCCTTTCTGCGGCTAATGCAGGTCATAATGGTTAAAGAAATGTTCAACATGCACATGCATCAATCATTTGGAATCAATCAGTGCATTTACATGCACAACAGAAAACCGAAGTATTGCCCTAAATAGACTGACGCTTTTGTAAAATGCATGTTAACGCGTTACACTCGCTGAAGGAAGCATCCAGATAATGCAGCAGGAACCCTATTTCATTTGCACGTAAACGGCTCAGTCGAGCTAATACCAGAAACTTCCGGAACTGACAAGACGGGGGAAGCGGTGCAACACCGTTAAACAGTGCAGTACATACCAAAAAGGCTGTGCTGCAGTGTTGTTGTCCATTCCTTCTGCCATTGTCCATATCCTGTTTTAACTCTGTCTGCTTCACTCCCACCAGCATTTGTTAACTATCCGTGTTTCTATAAGCTAACCAAAAGAAAGCCAACACAAAAGGGCACATGTCGCCACATACTCTACTGGAATGGAATTTATTTTATTTGAGAGTTTGGTTTTCTAACGTAAATGTAAACTAGGATAAGGGCTCCCAGTTTATAACTTCAGATTGATCTAGCTCACCTTATATGTGCATGTTTTGCAGTTAGTTAAAGTTTGTAGGTTTGATGCTACTTTTGGAAAATTCCCAACTATGAGCTGGTACAACTTCAGTTGTGAATTTAATGAACAGAAAAAAGCCATGCTGTAGGCCTTCTATACTCACACAAGGAAATCTCTTAATATACACATCAGCTGAGGCTTAATTTGTTACAAGATGCTTCCTGAGCAGGAGCACTGCAGCTAAAAGCAAACAGATGTGAACACCTGATGTTCACATCTGCTGAATCAAAGAGCTGCTTCTGCAGCTGGTAGAAATGACACCACCATTTCTAGCTAGCTGCATTTTTTTAGTTTTCATGGACCTGTGTCATTATTCTGGTTCTCTAGTGTGGAGGTCAAATGGCATTGTTCTCACCTGACCCAACAAAATGAAGTCAAAGAGCCATCTATGCATTTTCATTCCGCCTGGTTGTGAAAATAATAAATGATAAATGACTCGCACTTGTATAGCACCTCTCAGAGTAAGGACTCCAAAGCACTTTACACTACAGTGCATCATTCATCCATTCACACACACTGATGGTGATGAGCTACAATGTAGCTACAGCTGCCCTGGGGTGCACTGACAGAGGCGAGGCTGCAGAGCACAGGCGCCACCGGTCCCTCCGACCACCACCAGCAGACAAGGTGGGTTAAATGTCTTGCCCAAGGACACAACAGCAGAATTCTCTGTCCGGAGCCGAGATCCAACCTGCAACCTTCTGATTACTGGACAACCCGCTCAACCTGTTGAGCTACTGCTGCCCCATAAAGAAAAAGATCCACTGATTTTAAGGACCAGCTGACAGCCTCCTTTCAGCTGATGGCTCTCTATGCAAAAACATGCAAAAGATAAGCTCGACAGCCCTGAGATGACATGGCAAAAACCAAACACAGGTGTCATGGATATGCTTTATGTTAAGAGATTATCACAATACTTGACTTTTTATTTCATTAAGCCGGTACCAGAGTGTGTTGGTATATTCTGCTGTCAGGAAACGTTCTCAATATCACATTATTCTTTCATAGCTAACCTTAGCGGCACTCCCTGTAACTCACCCCAAAGTTCTCAGATCACCTAAGCAGATAAGAAACACTTTGTCAGCAGCTCACCAAATCTGTGTCAGCTTGCAAAGGAGAAGTTTGTGTGGCTCTGCAGCGGCTGCCATATGTTTATTCATTCAGATCACCATAAAGAAAAAATAAAAAAAATGATGCAGAAACAAGACTTCTCATTGATGAGCGTGTCAACGGAGCATTGCATCACTTTAGCCATTTTTAATACTGAAGGAAAATTAGTTGTGCGGACGTGCAAAAGTCCTGATGTACTAGATTGTTGTCTTGGGGCAAATGTTCCATCATGGTCCACTTAAGTCTTATTTACATGGCAACTAGAGCACAGAGATCATTCAAATGCATCAAAATAAACTCTTTAATATGCCAAAAGGTAGGCAGCTAAGTAGACTTTTTAAAAGTCAAAATCAAAGGACGTGCAAAGCTTAGAAACAGAGACATTTCACCTCCAGGAGAAAGAAAGAAACACAGCACACTGTAGCCCTGAAAGACAATTTGGATCAAGTTGCAAACTCTGTTAGGCGCTATATATAGTTCATCAGGATACGGTAGACACACACATGCGCGCGCGCACACAGGTTGTGCACCAGGAAAAATAAAAGCTCAGTGTGCAACACATTCAACAAGCTGATCATGGGTTTTAAAAGGTTCACTCGGATATAATGTGTGAATATGTTGAGAGAAACAGGAAGTAAGTAGGCATGTAGCAGATTTGGTGTATTGATCACATTAGCTGTGTTTAACCTCATCTGAACGGTTCAGATCTGCAAAAAAAAAAACAAATACGTCACACATAACTGTAATAAACAGAGTTAGAAATGTAGTGAACAGCTCGTATGAGTCTGTTTTAACTGACAGGTATCAGTTTGCAGGCTGTCACCCACTCAGCGCGGTTTAGCTTGAGTCTGCCAGATTAGCTAGCTGACGAGCTAACATTAGACGTTTACACATCTGGATTGAGACAGATTGGGAACGGTGACACACGAAGTTGAGCAAACACGGTGTTTTATTTTCCTCCCTCGTAAGGGAGAATTTGAGGACACATGGCCCTGACGTGAACCCCCCCACCCCCACGAGGGTGTTCAGCGCTCCGAGGCAGAAGCTAACTAAACTTAGCATGCTAATTCACGTTCCCCAGCAGCAGGCTCCTCGCTTTAAGCTGACGTTGCTGTACACTCGCACACATCTGCAGGCGAACAACAGCTAGCTAATGAGGTTTCAACTTTGTTATTGGCTTGCTAGTGACGCGCTGGCTTCCTTTACACAGAATAAAGAGGAAAGTTACGCTGGTCAAAACGTCAAAAAAATACAGTTGTGAAATGTGCGGAACGATGTCAGGCTTGGGTGGTGACAGTGTTTGGAAATGCGGCGTACTCTACCCCTTTCGGCGGCTGTCTGGAGTCAGAAGAGGCCAGTGTGTTGTGGACTGACGGCCAGTCATTCCCTGGAGTGGCCGCCACTGTCGCTCCGCTCCCGTCTCACTGCGCAAGATGGTCCCGATCGTGTTGTTTGATAAGGAAAATGATCCGGTTCCGTTTGACGGAGGCTCAGATGGTGATTAATAACATCGGCATGTCTGCGTTGAAGTTTCGCTTCAAATCAGAGGACGCGTCACCTTGCAGCGGTTCATGACTCCCACTATGAAAGATGAAGAAGGGCAGGACGTTGCTTTTCACTGCGAGCCCATATCACAATAATTAGTGTGTCCTCACCGGGCACCCGTATGTCACTGGACTTCTGTCCTGGATCATTATAATATTCTCAACTAATATCTTTAAAGTTAGTACACACCCAAAACCTAGATTTGATTAGAAATCAAATTTTCAACTATTTTTCATTTAATTTTGCAACTTTACTTCAAAAAATTTTTCTTTTTCAAACATCTTAATTCCACCAGTTAACTGCTAACCCGGAAGTAGCTCTGCCATCCGATACCCTAGAGATACATTTTAAATCTAGAGATACATGAAGATAAATAGCATTCCTGAATGATTTTAAAGAAGTATAAGTCTACACGTTTTAAGAATTACACATTTGTCTAACCAAATTTCACAAATAATCAAATAACTACGTAATAAAAATTAATCTCTTCGATTGTTGATAGCATACTTGCCCATCAGCAACCTAATTTTTTCTAGTGCTCACTCCATACAAAGCCCTTCACTGTGTGAAGTGACAATAATATTATGATAAAATTATAAAAAGGTTCCCCTGTAATAGAATATTTGCATTCATTTGTTTGTCAAGTACACATTTCAGATTTAAAACACAGTTAAAATATTATTTGTTAAATAAATACTATAGAAAAATAAGTCAGATAAAAATAAGCAAACTGACGAAATTGCTTTAGATTATTGTCATTCTTTCTAATCTTGGTGATTCACTTAATTTTATTCATTGTTTTTCTTTCACAATTTTTCATTCATATTAGATGTTTTTGTCTTACCATCACGTTGCTGCAATGATTACTGATTTAGGCAATCCACAAAACACCTTTTAGATACTTTACAGCTTAATTACATAGTTATTAATTACCATGCTCCTTTTCTCAAAGGACTGCTCCCTCTGGTGGTTGGGGCAGGACATTCGTCTCAAGGGAACTTCCGAGGCATTGCTTGCAGAAGGAAACAGTATTTTCTTTTCTTTGAACAGGAAACAAAACACATCAGCATTATGCATTTTTGCATTGTCTATACAAGTTAAAACACTCACAGTATGTCTATGATAAGACGTGTCTCTTGTTGATTCAAGTGGTAACTTCTTATATTTGTAAATATTAGGCAGTTTTCTTGTCTGAACCAGTTACATTTGTAAACCTTTTTCTGTTATATCAGTATTAAGCTTAAGTTAAAAAAAACTCTCAAGTTGCCTCTAATGTCTTTATGTTTTACTTCCAAGCAACTTGTTGTAATCCTTCAAAGTAGTTTTGATCCATAGTTCTTCAGGATTTCTAAAGGGCTTTCAAGATCTTCACAAAGTTGGAGGAGTCGTCTATTAAAGAGCAAGTCACCCCGTCATCATTCGGCCAAAATATTTAGCATCTCTTTTTTGATTCCGTTCTTTCACGCAAGTTTTGGAAATAATTTAGCAGTTTTGTTATTTAATTAATGTTTCTTACTACCTAAATGTTTTTGAATGTGGTAACGTTGTAAAGTCTTATTTACAGCCAATCATCTAGTGACGTCATTGACAGGCGCAGAATCCCAAGCCTTCCAGAAGGAAACATACCATCTAATAAGGCATCCCCCAAAAACGCTAGCCCTGTGTACTTTAGACTAGGGGTTGTATCAACTAGTCAACTTCACTGCTCTGTACTGACTTTTTATGCCTTTCATAGACTAGTCGCTGTCACATAAAAATGACCGAAAAGATGGAGTCCTCTGAAAAGACAGCAGGTGACGAGCCCCTGCGCGTCGGGAGGCGCTGTGCCAGAGCGTTGGTATCTGACGCTCGCAGTAAAACGGACATTTGACCGAATTGTGACCTTTACCCTCTTGCAATTTAACCTTCCCCTCACCCCCATCCTAACCTTAACCAGCTTGCGCATGCAAAGCTCTGATCGTTGATGCGCTCCATACATCTGCGTCCTGAGCACGGCCACAGTAACATTATCAAATTAGGTGTCGCCACCTCAAAAACTAATTTAACATGCGATCATTCATGTCGGCTCTTTTCCTTTTATGTTTTCTGTCTTTTATTTGTGCCTGATGTGTTTTGCTGCTGTGGAGCGGAGCACATCACCTGTTTTGTCCTCCGGTGACTTCACCTCACTGGTGCGGCTGGCGCGCAGCGCGCACTCCGCTGTTTTTGTGGTCGGTAGATCTTTTAGAACTGCAGTTCAAAGGTAACTCATAAGATGAATATATATGAACCCAGGTAGCAGTTTTTCTTTAGGATTGAGAGGAGATGCAGGAAGATAATAAATAGAGACAGGACAGAAAAATAGTCAAATAAAAACAAGTTAGTTTTTGTACCTGGTGGTTGCAACAAACAGACACCATTGAAGGTAATCAGAAGTGAGGAACAGAAAATGAAATAATTATTTTAATGTTTAGAGCAGCAGGAACTCTGAGAGGCTGCAGGCGCATCAGTGAGTTTGCGGCAGGGGGAGGGGGGAGAGGGCTGAAGCAGGAGAACAGTAAAGATGCAGAAACTACCGTTGTTAAAGAGATGTGTTTAACTTAGAAAATGTGGGTGCAATTTTAATTGTCAAAAACTCCACCAAACTAACCTGCTTCAGGTGTATGACGTCATCAACGACTAATCAAAGTCGACTAGATTTTCATTACTTGACTGTCGACTTTAAAAAGATGAAGTCATGCAGCCCCTAGTTTAGACCAGATTTTTGTGGTTGTATGTTACAAAGCCGCCAATATTTTTCACCAGCTGGACACCATTTTATTTATTTTCAACAAAGTTTTGATGGATATTTCCACAGATTAAAGGTAAAACTAGATTGTCATTTTAAAGGTGCAGTATCTATTATGTTTCATGCCTGCAAGGTGCTTTATAAATAAATGTTGATTTGATTTGATTTGATTTGAGTATCTAAGACTATAGTGAGAATTTTGCACTGAGGAAAATCCCAAATGGGTCTAATGTGTCAGTCATTTTGGAAGGAAGGTTATACTGAAACATATTTCATATCCAGCTGATTGTGGGAATTGTCAGTTTTTCTCCTTTCAAAATAAAGGAAAGAGGGACGTAACAACTGTTTACCATCAGTGAGTGTGGGGTTGCCGTGTCTCCTGCGACCTAATAATCCAGCGCCAACAATTGTAATTTGATGACGGCCGGCAAAAAGTTCCAGAGTTGTTTAAAGTGGTTGCAGTAACTAATTTTTACCACAGAGCGCCATTTTTACTTTATTTCTACATAATGCACCTTTAAACTTCCCACTGTCTTTGTGGGTGACCCCGTGAGGAAAGTTGACCATTGAGCATGGTTTATCCCTTGAGGTCCACGTGGCAGGGGTTAGGTGATGCGGGGTCACACCCATTAGGACAGTGGGAGGGTTAAGGGTCATTCTTCATTTCGCGTGAAACAAACTAATCAAGCAGCTTGTTTCTGACACATTAACAATGTAACTCCTGGAGGATTTGCACTAATTCTTATTAAACTATTTCTGACCAATCAAAAACTACCATGTTCAGTTAAATACATACTGCCCTATAGTGCTGGATCAACAGGTGGCAAGGGCCAATTTTATTTCATTTAACTGTAACATAACTATATAAAATAAAAGCCATGATTGGTTATATTAATTAGTCAAAATTGTTCTAAAATTAGATGATTTTATAATCATTTTACAGTTTAGGCTTTAAAGGGAGAAATGTTTGCACAGATAAAGACAGAATTCTACACAAGTGGCTCAGAAATAACAGGAGCTTGTGAAACAAGAGGATTTAAATCCTCAGAGAGGATCTGGGTAGAGCCGGGTCCTGTTGCCTTTTCCTGACCTCCAGACATGCAGAGAAAGTTTTATACACGGAGCGGGAAACATCTAGAAAACCAGAGGGACACCATCACATCTGTTGGCAGCAGCAGCAACAGAGCCATTTTATACCAAATCAGATTTAAATGCTGCAAATTGTGGATGAAAGCATTGTTTAGTTTAATTAAAGTACCACTGAAGTAAATAATTTCTCTCCTCTTTGTTCTCTGTTGCATGTATTGTTGTTTAAATGACTCTGCTCCACATTGTTGTCGATTCAGTGGACTCAAGCTGCCAGACCAGCCAGAGAGGAAGGGAGGATGAAGAGTGAATAAAACAACACCCTGCAGGCTGAGTATTTTTTATTTTTTAGCATATTAGAGCAAAAATGCAAAAAGATGCTTTGAATTTCACTTAGTCCTCCCTAGGCGCGTTTCACCCCGGCCTATTATACTCAGTTGTGGGGCGAGCGGAGGAATGAGCTCAATTAGGTGAGGAAATGAGGAGAGAGGAGGATTTGGACTCTGGCATTTGGAAAATAAAATTTATAAAATAGGGAATGAAATGCTGGAGGAAGGTCAAGAGAAGACAAGAAAGGCACGGTGGGAAATAAGAGAACAGTAGAGAGGGAAGGGGCCAGATGGAAAAGAGAGGATGAGAAAGTGAAACTATGTTGTCATGGAAACTGGCATGGATCTGAAGAGCAAAACAAGAATTTAAATTGGTTTACCTTCAGGAATGGAGAGGGGAAAATATACAGGGAGACGGATTTAATGGAGAACTTTCTGTAACATTAAACTCCAAATGTGAGATTGCAAAGGAGACAGTCATGTCAGGATGTTGTAAATAGATGTGATGTTCAGCTTTTGAGCAGCTGGGGGGGGGGGGGGGGGGGGGGGGGGGCTCACCCTGCATCTCCTCAGGCAGCAGTTACTTATAAATGAATAATTTAAAAAGGCATCAGCTTGGGAGGCGCAGAGGTCAGTCTGAGTGGGTGAATTACTAATACAGCTTAACAAATCCAGCCTTAACTGCTGCCACTGCGTGCCAGGATGCATTATTTCACTGTAACAGGTCGGCGTTTTTATGACGGCTGTGCCTGATGGGCCTCTAGAGCTCATCGTGGCAGAACACAGATGTTTGCAGGGCTCTGGCGTGTGCCGCATGTTTAATTTGAGCTCCAAACAGATTAAAAACCAAAAGTTTCTCCCCCTCCATCCTTATTTGTCCTCCCCTGAGAGATGTCTTGTGCTGTTGCAGCTCCTTCGCTCGGCAC